AGGGCAAATTTTCATCTGCAAAAAAAAAAAAAAAAAAAAGATTTTGATTCAGTAGGTCTGGGGCAATGCCTGAGATTCTGAATTTCTAACACGTTCCCAGGCCTTATGGACGATATTGGTCCATGGAACACACCTTGAATAACAAAGCACATAACTATCTTCGTCCCTTAAAGTCAAGCTTTCAAAAAGAAGCCTCTATTACTCCAATAGCCAATCACTTCTCAACTCTTTCTAACCTGTCTCCTGTGTCCAATGATCTTATAAAGTTGTTTAACCACCATCCTAAATGTATTGACTTGAAGGAAAATCATAGAAGCTAAACAGGGTGGACAATACAAAAAGAGTTAAATGGGTGCTGCATAAAGGTCAAGCAAGATAAGGACAAATCATCCTTTGGCTTTGGAAATTTGAACATAATGAGGACCTTAGGACAATCTTACCAGAGCTCTGCTGCAATAGTGGAGGAGGTGATGAGCATATCAAGTGGTGGTCAAATGCAGCAGCTCACTACCTTTCTTAGTATCTGAACAACTATCAACAGAACAACCAGCAACCAACTGTTTAAAAAACAAAAAAAGCTTTATGGGACAATCAGGGAAATTTGGATATATGATGATATTAAGGAATTAATCATTTTTTTAGGTGTGATAGTATGGTTACATTAAAAGAGAGATTCAACATAAAAAAATCAATCACTGTAATATATCACATTCATAGAATGAAGGAAAACTCCACATGATCAACTCAATTAACAAAGAAAAGGCCTTGGACAAAATCCAATACACTTTCATGAGAAAATCTCTCATAAAACCAGGAATAGAAGGGACCTTCCTTAACATGATAAATGGCATTTATGAAAAACTCATAGCTAACATCATACTCCATGGTGACAGACTGAAAGCTTTCCACCTAAGATCAGGAATGAGACAAAGATGCCTGCTTTCACCACTGCTATCCAACATGGTACCCTAGGTTCTAGTCAGAGCAACAGGACAAGGGGGCAAATAGAGCAAACTGCAAAAGAAGGAGTAAAACTATTCCTATTTGCAAATAATGATCCTATATATTAAAAAATCCCCCAAAATCCAAAAGAAAGCTATTAGAGGGGATGGGGGTGGAGGGAGGGCAAAAGGGGTAAAGGGGCACATATGTATAGTGCCAGATAAAAACTAGACTATTGGTGGTGAGCAAGATGCAGTCTATAGGGCCGGCCCCGTGGCTTAGCGGTTAAGTGCGTGCTCTCCGCTGCCGGCGGCCCGGGTTCGGATCCCGGGTGCGCACCAAGGCACCACTCCTCCAGCCATGCTGAGGCCGCATCCCACATACAGCAACTAGAAGGATGTGCAGCTATGACAGACAACTATGTACTGGGGCTTTGGGGGAAAAATAAATAAATAAAATCTTTAAAAAAAAAAAAAAAAAAAGATGCAGTCTATACAGCAACTGATATATAATGACGCACACTTGAAATTATACAATGTTATAAACCAATATGACCTCAATAAAATTAAAAAAAGAAAAAAAAGCTATAAGAGCTAACAAACAAATTAGCAAGGTTGCAGAGTACAAGATTAACATATAACATTAAAATTCAGCTGTGTTTCCCTACACCAGTAACAAACAATCCGAAAAAGAAATTAAGAAAATAATCCCATTTATAACAGAATCCAAAAGAATAACACACTTAGGAATAAAATTAATCAAGGAGGTGAAAGACTTGTACACTAAAAACCATAAAACACTGCTGAAAGAAATTAAAGAAAACCTAAATAAATGAAAACACATTTCATGTTCATAGGTTGGGAGACTTAAATACTGTAAAGATGACAATACTCTCCAAACTGATCTACATATTAAATGCAATCCCCATCAAAACTTCAACTGCATGTTTTGCATAAATGGACAAGCTGATCCCAAATATTTCCCAAGATGTTTTCAAGTACCTATAATACGTTTTTATACTGCTGGTAATTACAATAAACAGAACAGCTTAATACATGACATGTATACATGAAAAAGTATTACAGGTATTCTAAAAAGCACATCTTCTTTACAGAAGAGTCAAAATAGACATTTTTGGAACAAAAGCTTTTACCAAGAAGAATGTTCTTCATTGGCTGTGAACTAGATACTAAATACCTCATAACAATTACACTCCTCCTAAACTGTAAATACCCTCCTCCTGGCACCAAAAACCACACAGCACAATTTTGTTTTTTAAACCAGGAATGCTCCTTTGTTAAATGAGTTCAGGGCTTCACAAAAACTCATCACATAACTCAAGTAGCTCCCTAAAAATATACTTTTATTATAACTTCTTGCTCTTTTATGTTTAATTAATAAGCTTATCTGCTAAGCAGAACAGAAATGGAATCACATTTCAAGCTCCAATGCCCTCATTACAATATTCTTTTGAAAGGAAATGATCTAATGATTCAAGTACAATACAGAGAAATTCAGTAAGAGTGGACAGAGATATGTAATATCTTACTATACTTGATCCTGAAGTAACAAACAATAATAAAACTATCAAAGATTTCAAATTTCTATTCCTAGGTATCTTAAATAAATTTTATTCTCTTCTCTATAGCAAAAGAAAATAAGTCACCATACCCAACGTCGGTAAGGGGTGGTTTGTCTCTCCCTCTTTTGTAACAGAGGAAAAGTTCTGGGCTTTTCAGACTTCCATAGTTCAAGTTTGCTTGGAGAGCTGATGGAGTGGCTTCAACACAGGTGTAACCTTCAGGTACTGTTTCCCCAGCTGATTTGTTAATAACTGCAATGTCTGTAATTGGAGCTTTAGGTCCAGTTGACTTAGTATCTAAACGATTTATTTCTTGATCCAAAAGAGCAGATGTATCAGTGAGACCTGCCACAACAAAGTAGTCGGTCACTCTTGGCCCTTTGTCTGCTATCATGGCTGCTATTATGTTTCCTAGAAAAGGAAAAAAAAAAGACATCAATTAAATAAAATACTTTATCCTGACTCATTAAAATTAAAATACTCCTGAGCTAATAGGGATCAACTAGCATACTTCTCAGTTGGATTTATAATCAAATTGTTGTCATTCTATAGAAGCCTGTTTTGGTATCATCTTGTCAGCTTCTACCTCTTATAAGATACAAGTTTAAAGCACCAACTCATTTGTACGGCACCTATGATCCTTTCAGGTGCCCAAGGCTCTGTTAAGAACAATCAAATTGTCAGAGGTGGGCTACGGTGCTCTCCTTTGAGCAAAATGCACTTAATGAACAATATTCAGACAATCTGAAAAATCATTCTAAGTTACAGAATTCCAAGAGCTAAGTTTCACATTTAAACAAACAAAATGAGTTCATCATGAATTAGCCAAGGTCTAACACAAAAAAACAAAGGTAATAGTAATAAATATAATTAAACCAGTCTCTTAGCAATTCAGTTAGGAGTCTGTCCCTTATAGCTAAGAAACATTATAGAAACACCATGTAAACTAAGTAAATTTAGGAATAATTACATATTTCATATACAAATACCAGATACACTATAAAAAACTATAACCAAAGGCAAAATTATGTAAAATATACATTAAGAGAGTTAGGTACTACATGCTAGAAACCTAGAGAATATGAAGATTGAGTCAAGATTTCTATTATCTTTAAACTCAATATTCTAAAAATAAATTAAGCTTCTGAGGTTTGAAATATTTCCAGGGATTTTATGTGCCTTTTAAACACAACTTTGTTGAAGTGTAATTTACATACAATAAAATGCACATATTTAAAATGTATAATCTGGTAAGTTTTCACAAATGTATACAGCTGTGAAAGTATTACCACAATCAAGATAGTGAACATATCCATCAACATCCAAAATTTTCTTGTACCCTTTATTATCTCTCCCTTCCCAGGCAATGATTGATACCTGCTTTCTGTCACTATGGATTAGTCTCTAGAATTGATATAAATGGAATCATACAGTATATATTCTTTTTGGTCTAGCTTCCTTCACTCATCATAATTTTTTTTTTTATTGAGGTCATATTGGTTTAAACATTGTATAATTTCAGGTGTACATTGTGATATGTCAGTTTCTGTATAGACTGCATCATACTCACCATCAACAGTCTAGTTTCTATCCATCATCATACATATGTGCCCCTTTACCCCTTTCACCCACCCCCGACCCCCTTCACCTCTGGCAACCACTAATCCATTCTCTTTATTCATGTTTGTTTATCTTCCACATATGACACTCATTATAATTATTTTGAGATTCATCCATGTTGTTTATATCAATAAGTTTATTCCTTTTTATTGTTGATTAGTATTCCATTGTTGAATATACCACAATATGTTTACACATTCACCTATATTAATAGATATTTTGGGGGCCGGCCCCGTGGCTTAGTGGTTAAGTGCGCACGCTCCCCTACTGGCGGCCCGGGTTTGGATCCCAGGCGCGCACCAACGCACTGCTTCTCGGGCCATGCTGAGGTGGCGTCCCACATACAGCACCTAGCAGGATGTGCAACTATGACATACAACTATCTGCCGGGGCTTTGGGGAAAAAAAAGGAGGAGTATTGGCAATAGATGTCAGCTCAGAGCCAGTCTTCCTCAGCAAAAACAGGAGGATTGGCATGGATGTTAGCTCAGGGCTGATCTTACAAATAAAATAAAATAATAAAATAAAATAAAATAAAATAAAATAAATAAAATAAAATAAAATAATAAAATAAAATAAAATAGACAGTTGGGTTATTTTCAGTTTGGGGCTACTGCAAATAAAGCTATGTACAAGCCTTATGAACACATGCTTTCATTTATTTAGGTAAATTCCTAACACGGAATGGCTGAATTACCTAGCAGGTATATACCGTTCTAAAAAACTGCCACATAATTTTCTAGACTGAGTGTATTATTTTACATTCCTATCATCAGTATATGAGAGTTCCAGTTGTTTCACATCCTCTCCAACGATCTATGAAGTCAGTCTTTTTATTTTTTTATTTTTTTACTTTTTTTATGAGAAAGATCAGCCCTGAGCTAACATCCATGCCAATCCTCCTCTTTTTGCTGAGGAAGACTGGCCCTGGGCTAACATCTGTGCCATCTTCCTCTACTTTATATGGGACACCGCCACAGCATGGCCGGACAAACGGTGCATAGGTGCGCGCCCAGGATCCAAAGCCGGGCTGCCAGCAGCGGAGTGTGCGCACTTAACCGCTATGCCACGGGACTGGCCCCGAGGTCAGTCTTTTTAACTTAGATATTTTGATATGTCTAGAGTAATACTTAACTGTAGTTTTAATTTGCATCTTTCTAATGACTAGTGATGTTGACCATCTTTTCATGTGCTTATTTTCCATCCATATATTTTCTACGGTGAAGTATCTGTTCAAATCTTTTGCCTTTTTTTTTGGTGAAGAAGATTAGCCCTGAGATAAGACCCGTTGTCAATCCTCCTCCTTTTGCTGAGGAAGATTGGCCCTGGGCTAACATTTGCACTCATCTTCCTCTACTTTATACGTGGGACGCCTGCCACAGCATGGCTTGATAAGTGGTGCATAGGTCTGCGCCCAGGATCCAAATCTGCGAACCCCGGGCCGCCAAAGCAGAGCATGCAAACTTAACCACTACACCACCTGGCCAGCCCCCTTTTGCTCATTTTTTAATTGGGTTGTTTGTTTACTCATTATTAAGTTTTGAAAGTTCTTTATATATTTTAGAGACAAGTCATTTATCAGGCATATGCTTTGCAAATATTTTCTCCTAATCTGTGGCTTGTCTTTTTATGCTCTTAATAGTGCCTTTTGAAAAGCAGAAGTTATTTTTGATGAAGTCCAGTTTATCAATCTGTTCTTTTATGGATCATGCTTGTGGTGTCATATTTAAAAAATCATTGTCTAATCCAAGGTCACAAAGGTTTTCTCCCATAATTTCTTAGAAAAGTTTTATAATTTTAGGTTTTACATTTAGATCTATGATCTATTCTTCGTTAATTTTTGTACATAGTGTGAGGTATGAATCAAGATTCACTTCTTACATATAGATATCCAATTTTTCCGGCACCACTGGTTGAAAAGACTATCTTTTCTCTAATGTATTGCTTTGTACCTTTGATTTGCTCAATTATGTGTGTGTTTATTTCCGGATTTTCTATTCTGTTCCATTGATCTATTTGTCCATGTGTCAGTACCACATGGTTTTTATTACTGTAGCTTTACAATGAATCTTGAAATCAGGGAGTGTTACTCTTCAACTCTGTTGTTCTTCAAAATTGCTTTGAAAAAGGTCCTTTGCATTTCAATGAGCATTTTAGAATTAGCTTATCAATTTCTATCCATCAAAAAAAAAATGCCTAGTAAGATTTTAATTGGGATTGTGTTGAATCTGCAGGTCAATTTAAGAAAGACTGACAATATTGAGTCTTCTAACCCATGACCAAGGTTTATCTCTGCATTTATTTAGATTTTACAAAATTTCTCTCATCAATGTTTTGTAGTTTACAGCATGTCTTTCACATCTTTTGTCAGATTTATCCTTAAGTACTTAATAATTTAGATGCTATTGTAAATGACATCATTTCCTTTTTTAACTCAATTTTCAATTGTTCATTGCTACTACATAGAATTACAATTGATTTTTATATAATGATCTTGTATAATGCAATCTTGTTAAAGTTGCTTATGAGTTGTAGAGCTTTTCTGTAGGTTCCATCAAATTTTCTACATAGATGATAACGTGTGTAAATAGACAATTTTACTTCTTTCTTTCTTTTTCTTGACTTACTGTACTGGCTAAAACATCCAGTACAATGTTCAAGAGAAATCGTGACCAAAGAAGATATACAAATGACCAATAAGCACATGAAAATATGCTCAACATTATTAGTTATAGCAGCATTATTCACAAGAGCCAAAAGGTAGAAACAATCCAAGTGTCCATCAGCAGATGAATGGATAAACAAAATGTGGTATATCCATACAGTGAAATATTATTCAGCCATAAGAAGGAATCAAATTTTGATAAATGCTACATGGATAAACTTTGAAAACATTAAGCTAAGTGAAATAAGCCAGACACAGAAGGACAAATATCATATGATTCCACTTATATGAGGTACCTAAAATAGGCCGATTCATAGAGACACAAAGTAGAATAGAGGTTACCAGGGCCTGGGAGAGGGGAGAATGGAGAGTTATTGTTTAATGGGTACAGAGTTTAGGTTGGAGATGATGGAAAAGCTTTGGGTATAGAAAGTGGCAACGGCAGCCCTGTGGCTTAGCGGTTAAGTGCACGCACTCCGCTGCTGGCGTCCCGGGTTCGGATCCCGGGCATGCACCGATGCACCGCTTCTCCGGCCATGCTGAGGCCGCGTCCCACATACAGCAACTAGAAGGATGTGCAGCTATGACATACAACTATCTACTGGGGCTTTGGGGGAAAAAAAATAAATAAATAAAATTATTAAAAAAAAGAAAAAAAGAAAGTGGCAATGGCTACACAACATTGCCAATGTATTTAAGGCCACTGAATTGTACACTTACAAATAGTGAATATGATAAATATTATGCTATGTATATTTTACCACAATAAAAAAAAGAGAGAGAATGCATCAATAAACATCTCTCCACATTAAACTTTTGGGTCTCTGTTAAGTTATAAATTCCTGGAGTCAGCTTTCCAGATCAGAGTATATAAATGCCTGTATAACTATAGTTATATGTTACCTTCTTGCCTTTTGAAAAGAATATACCAATTTACCATGGCAACAGTAATGTAACTATGGTCCAATGGGTGATATAATTGTATTTATGTTTATTGTGTTAGAGTAAAACTGGTGCAAGGAGGTTGTTTTAATACACATTTCTGAGACCCTACAAATTGGCAGCAAAGGCAGACTCTGAACTCACCTCCCCCCACGGACAGAGCAGACTTACAACTAATCTTGGAA